GCATCAAGCATTCAGCATCACGGATAGGAATGGGCGAGCAGTATGATAGCAAGAAGAAAGAACTCAGTATACTAGTACATATGGGAAAGGGATGGATGGGCGGATGGGCGGTCTTTTCCAACGGTACCAGCTGGCTCCACATATAGGAGATGCTCATCTGGGTAGGATAGGATAGGGTAGGGTAGGGTAGGGTGGGAAACTTTGATATCAACATCCATGAATTTTAAGAGAGCGCGCTCGCTGAGCAATTCGCGCAGAGCATTTTCGGTTAAAGTTAATTAGTTTGTGTTATATGTATTACGAATTATCAATTTTTCCCCCCATTGCATAGTGTGCCTTTTATGGGTTTTTGTGGATGTTGTATTGTGTATTGTGTTTTGTGTCTTGAGTCTGATGGGTAGCTAGGGTATGGTAAAGGTGCTGGGCTTAAGTTTGCAAGGACGGGTAGGCATGCAGGTAGGTATTGGTATGGGATGGGAAAGGAACGGAAAGGAGAGGAGAGAGGATTTTCGTTTTCGCTTGCGCAAGTGTGACATCTGATATTATATTTGATTTCCATTTTTCTGGTAAACTATGAAGGAAAAATGTGAGTAGATGGATGATCAGACTTCTTTGTTTGGGCATCTATCTGTATTCGTTCGCTTTGGATGTTCGTTTTGGGTGTTCGTTGTGGAGGTGCTGTGTGCAGGAATGTGTGTATGTGTGTATATGTGGTGGGGAATGGAGAGAGTGAGATGAAATATGCATATTTGGGAGGTTTTCTTTCTGGGATGAGAAGATAAGGGAATGAGAAGGTGATTCAAGGGTATGGGTATAAGTATGAGATAAGCGGATGGGGTTTCTGGGTTGTATGCTAAGTGGAAGGTGGTAGGTGGGATGTTAGTTGGTGGATTGGATTGGTTAGGGAGATGTGAATGGGAGGGGAAGGGGAAGGGAAGAGGAAAAGGAGGGGAAGAAGAAGATGGGAGAGGTAAATGAGGAAGGGAGAGGGAAAGAGAGGAGGGAGAGGAGAAGAGAGGAGGGAGAGGAGAAGAGAGTAGGGAGAGGAGAAGAGAAGAGAGGAGGGAGGGGACAGGAAGAGCGAAGAGGAAAAGCATACGCCAATGATATTTAAATTTATATTCAAGATTCAAGATTCAAGATTCAAGGTTCAAGATTCAAGATTCAAGATAGATGATACGATGCGAAGCGAACTTATGCGAAATTATGCGAAGTTATGAATTGGATGGAGATGGGGATAGGGGGAAGGGATGCGAATAAGTCAATTTTGTATTCTCGAGAAGGGTGGCAGATGGGGTTTGATGTTTTCCCGGGGGATCTCGAGATTCGATACTTGATACTTGAGTAGAAGTCTAGAAGGGGAGTGTGTGTGGACTGGACTAATGGGCACCGCGTTGATTGGAAGTTGATTGGGAAATGGGAAGTGGGAATGGAGAGTTAGACACTTAGATCTGCGGAGCTGGCTGGTAGGAGCACATACTTGGGAATGGAAGCGCTAGGAAATTACATTGATATTGATATTGATATTCTATGGCATCTGCAAGGGTTTGAGGTGTGATTGTGTGATCATAAAGTACCTAGATGGCTTCGAAAACGCTTCTAGAGAGAGGTTTATCTACAGGATTGAGATTCAAACATCGATTCCAATGAGCTCTTGAATCCACACCTTCACATGTGACTAGCTTGGTACTTTCTTATCAATATCAAGAAAAGTCTATTTCAATTATGAATACGTGGGAAGAGAAAGGGATCTCATATGATATGTTCAAAGTCACTTCTTGCTCGCTCTACTATGATTACGTCATACGCATATCGAGTACGTAGGAAACGTAGTAAATGGATATCTAACGCCCTGGGCCATGCAAATGCTCCGGTACATACATACTTTTGTGTATATGTTTTATACATTCCTGATGATATTAACGCCCGCCCGCCTCACCTTTGCTTGATTTCTTGGAAATTTGGAATGCTTTTGATGTATGATTGCTAGCTGGTGGGAGTTAGGCAGCGGCTTGGGGTTGGGCACCTTGCGCCTCGGATTGGAGTTTTATTATCTGAGGAGGTGTTAGATGGGGGTTTTGGGGGGAGTGGAATGGGAACATGCCTCCATCTTTAAGCCATCACTTTTGTCTTGTACGTCTTTGATAGCTTGTTCGACTCGTTTTCTAAATAGGCGAGAGAAAAAAAGTATTAGAGTTTTATTCATTCTCAAATTCACCTGGAAATGTTCTCCCCAAGACTCCATTTCGAAAGTCCCATAAGTAGAATATTCGATTGTGTTGCAGAGGAAAGTATTGAATGTAAAGTGTAGAGAAGAGATATGGTACGCACATTTCCTTCTCGATGAATTCTAATCTTCCGTCAACAGCCATAACAGCTTCGGTTTTATCTTGCTTTAGGAGGACGGGGCCGACAAGCTTGTAGATGTTAGAGTCGGAGGAGAGGGCGGAGAATTCCTGAGGGTCGCGGGTCAGTGTGGTTCTGGGATTGGATTTGAAAGAGGATCGGCGGATGGAAAGGTGTGGGAAGTGAATGGGAATGAGAGGGAGGCGAGATGTACTTTTTGAACGCTCTTGTTTTCTTGTTGTTGGGATTCGAGCTTTTGGCGGGAAGAGATGGAGGTTTGGAGATCTGGGAGAGGTTAATATATGAAGAAGTATAGGAGAGGAGAGGTGAAAATGACCTGTTTGGAGTTTTTGATATTCCTCTGTGAGAGCTTGGAGACGCTGCTGCTGTTCTGCCATGGTGAGGATGTGAGGATATTTGGTTTCTGGTCTGGAGCTTTAGGGAGTTGATTAGGCTGATTATGTTCTGCGAAGATTACTTTTTCTGTGCGAGGAAAGTTGCAAATTATACCAATGGATTGCGATTATGAGCGCCACAAATCGACCGTCTTATAATGCAGTCGTAGAGAATTAAAATAATTTGTCTTTGAATAATCTTCCAATATCGAAATTTCGTGAGTTTCTCTTATCCAGTATCAAATTATGGAGATGATGTCTAGCGCAATCGCGGGGCAACCAAAACACCGCCAAGCTCACAAGCTCAAGCGACAACCTAGACTTTCGAATTCTCAATCCCCTCGACAGTTTCATACACTAGGATACACAAGACGAGAATACCAGGCGCATAGAGAATTAATATACTGGTTTGGTCTGTTAATATTCGTTCCTACAGTCCTACAGAATTTAATTTGTGCTCTCTTTGTTGACCAAGGTTATCGTCGTCATTCTACCAAATTCGAGACTTGTTTAAGTACAAGTACAAGGGCATTCAAACCAAACGTCGATCTTGTTGTGCTGTGACAAGAAAAAGAGGCGCCGTGTAGATAATCGCCTGGAGTTCCATTACTATCGAAGCAAGCTTCTGTATCTAGACATCAACATCAACACCCGTAAACCCCACCCTCAATATGTCGAACACTGATTTCCTTGGGCGGGCCATAGACGTGGTTAAGAAAGCCATCGAAGCCGACACCGCAGCGGAATACGATAAAGCATATCAACTCTACTACCAATCTCTTGAACTCTTCATGCTCGCTCTCAAATGGGAGAAGAATGCCAAATCCAAGGAAATGATCCGCGCCAAAGCCGGCGAATACATGGAGCGAGCCGAAAAATTAAAAACACATCTTGCAGATGCGGAAGGCAAACGAAAGAAACCCAGTATGATGGGAGCGAATGGGAGTTCGACTGGAGGAAAACCAAATGAAGAGGAAGGGGATCCAGAAAGTAAAAAGTTGAGAAATGCATTGCAAGGAGCCATTCTACAGGATAAACCAAATATCAAATGGGAGGATGTAGCGGGTTTGGAGGCCGCAAAGGAAGCGCTCAAGGAGGCTGTTATTTTGCCAATCAAGTTTCCGCATTTGTTCACGGGAAAAAGACAACCGTGGAAGGGTATTCTGCTTTATGGACCACCGGGAACAGGAAAGAGTTATTTGGCAAAGGCAGTAGCTACGGAAGCAAACAGTACGTTCTTCAGTGTGAGCAGTTCTGATTTGGTCAGTAAGTGGATGGGAGAGAGTGAAAGGTATGTTTCCCGAATTTTTATCATGGAGCTATATGCATATCTGACAATTCAATAGATTAGTCAAACAGCTATTTACCATGGCCCGCGAAAATAAACCCTCCATCATCTTCATCGACGAAGTAGACGCTCTTTGCGGACCCAGAGGAGAAGGAGAATCAGAAGCCTCGAGACGTATCAAAACCGAAATGCTTGTCCAAATGGACGGTGTAGGAAGAGACAGCCGTGGCGTGTTAGTTCTAGGTGCTACCAATATTCCCTGGCAATTAGATGCTGCCATTCGACGTCGTTTCCAACGCCGTGTTCATATTTCCCTTCCAGATCTACCCGCACGAACTAAAATGTTCGAGATCAGTGTCGGAACCACTCCTTGTGAATTGGTGGCCTCTGATTATAGAAAGTTGGGAGAACTGAGTGAGGGCTACTCGGGAAGTGATATCAGTATTGCGGTTCAAGATGCTTTGATGCAACCTGTACGGAAGATCCAAACTGCTACACATTATAAAAAGGTAATGTCTCCAATATCACCTAAAACCCCTCCTCTTCAATTCTCAATAGATGAAAATGTGACTAACTCTAAAAAGGTCATATCCGATGGAATAGAAAAATTAACTCCCTGCTCACCCGGCGATGCAGGCGCTATGGAAATGTCCTGGACAGAAGTCGATTCGGACAAGCTTCTCGAGCCACCTCTCCAAGTAAAAGATTTCATCAAAGCTATCAAGGGGGCTAGACCTACCGTTTCTCAAGAAGATATCCAAAGGAGCACGGACTGGACCAATGAGTTTGGTAGTGAAGGTGCTTGATTATGTCTTGCCTTGATACTTAGTAATAGCAAGAAAAGAAAACATAGCTGCGAGGAGTGGTTGGGGGAGAGGAGTATGGGACGGGGTATGCTGGCGAAGAAGGCGTTTATGAATGGATCGCGTTCTAAACTTAAACGAACGTCCGGCACAAGTCGATTTAAATGAATGCTACGAGTTAAGAAGGGCAAAGAGCTACAAGAATACAATGTCAATAATGTCAAGCACGTTTCACAGATTGATCATTCAAGATTCAGTCCAGGTCACATGAAACCGAAAGATTATGTGTAGAAGTAATGAGTTGTATGCTTTTTCCAATTTTATGCACCTCATAGTGTCTGACCAAGCCATATAAAATACCACCACAAGCCAGAGCTTCTACGGTAAGATTGTTAACAAAAAAAAGTAGTCCTCAACGCCCATAATAACACAGCTATACTCCGCCATTGATGACCCAGCTGCCCGAAATTTACAAGATGAGATGATAGGAGAAAGAAAGATAAAGAGAAGGACGTCTACACCATGTTTACAATGATGAAGGCGACATTTATTCCGCCTTGCTCTTCTTCTTCTTTTTCTTCTCGCCCTCTTCTTCTCCATTGGCTTCGCTGTGTCTACGCTTCTTGTCCTTCTTCTCACTCTTTTCGCTCTTGTCTTTCTTTTCCTTTTTCTCTTTCTTGTCTTTGGATTTCTTCTCTTGCTTGGAGACGGATGTTGGGGCGATGTCAGCCATTTCGGTATCTTCGGCGGTTGGATCTTCAACGTTGATATCACCAAGAACAGCATCCATTGCTTTTTTCTATCAAAATATGTTAGTCAATAGATCACGATTGAAAATATCTCAGAGTCCTTACCATAGCATCTTGGTTCTTTGTTGGTGCGGTACCAGTAGCGTAGAAATCTAATCTTTCTTCGACTTGGGCTCTCAAAGCCTCACCGAATTTGTTGGTTGGTGCCTCAGAGAAGTTATCGATTCTACTTGCAATACTGCACTTGTTGGCCAAAAATCTGGAGATACGTCCCTTGTTCTTTGCGCCCGCACGACCAATGAAGCTGGAGTGGTAGATCAATCCATATTTAGGTGTGTTACCCTTAGTCTTGAGTGCTCTAAACAAGGCCTTTTCAGCACCGAGAATTTGGACAGTGGAGGCTGGGTATTTGGAAAGGTTGGTAAGGGAACCGGCGTGAGAGATAAGTCTGGCAGCAACAACTTCACCGATCAAAGCGGCCAAGTTAGGTGCAACAATTGCCATTTTGTCGGTCAAGTATTGGAAAAGGGACCTTCTGTATTCGGCGAGCTTGACGACACGGTTTGCAAATGCGGAAACATTCTCCATATCGTTAACTGAGATATCTTGGCCCATAGAAACCTTTGCAGCATCAATGATCGATTGCGCCTTATCTCCATCATCGTCAACAAGGGCGGCAATATCGTGTAAATCTTCGTCGGTCAAGTTCTTCTTGTTACCAATTGCCAAAGCAAGTTTGGCATATGTGTGGTTATCCGAGACGAGTCGGACAAGTTCTGGGAAGTGCCATCCGTACCATTCACGGACACGCATGGAGAAAGTGTTAACGGCCTTGTCGAGATGATCCAAAGTAGCGATAGCTTGGATAATGTGGTTATCGTTCTTCTGGACTGAGAACTTGACCTTAGCGCGCGAATATGCGTGTCCAAGACCCAATTGAGCTCTCTCGACATCACCCTCCTGTAAACCCTTCAACAACTTTGGTGCGTGTAATCGCAATCCTCTGAGTAAATCTGCGACAACCTCGGAAGTTTCACCAGTCTCACAAGAAACACCTGAGAATTCCTCCTTGATGCTACCGGCCAAAGTCTTGTCGGAAACACCGAGAATGGTCTTCTTCTTCTTCGATGGCTTTGGCATGTTCAATTCCAAGTTCGACTTCAAGTAATCGGAAAGTACACCCTCGGAGATCATGTTAATATTTTCGAGCGCCTCGGCAGCATTTCTAGAGTAATTGTCAATTCAGACTCTCCGCTCTGCAAAGCATTGAATAGCTAACCTGTATGGCGCAAAATTGACAAGCTTGACCATTTTGCCAAATTTCGCAAGATCTTGACCTGCATCTTGAACTTCCTTTAATCGATTGCCAATTGTGTCAGCTTGGTGCACAACCTGGAAGATTGCGAAACCAGTGGCCGACTCATGGAGAAGGTAATCAACGGCAGACATCTTGTCGATATAATGTTGTCGTTGTTGGTGGTTGACTTGTTGGGTTGAAAGTTAAGCTTCCACAAATTTTCAGAAGCTCCTAGGATTATTTTTTTCGTCGTGGGATGCCCGTGAAATGCGCTAGGCTCAAAAAATTGCCGGTAGTTTTTGCCGATTCATCACGTGACATGATTCGCTTGGTCTTTACACTTCGGGCGAAGTTACTCATGCCAGGTGCGAACTGGAATCAGATCATATCTCACCACACCAGAACTCAATTGCATCGACGGCAACTACTAAGTGATCACATACAATAACGATCAAGTTATCTGTACATAGTCTTTGTTGCCGTATTACACTTGAGCTTTCTTGCTCGTCCACGGCCGCCGCAGATTGAATTGCAGCAGTGCCAAGCTAAAAGATCGATTTACTCAACCTGCCATTCACGACCACCTCTTGAGAAACGAGAATAACTTCTATCAAGGTAAGGTCCAATCCAAAGCACACGTTACCTAGCGGAGATATATTTGATTTCTATCAGAGCTTTGGAATGCTTCGACAGTTTTATTTTGAACACTTTCATAGGAACTTTTTGATTGGATTCTGTGTCGCAAGCGTAGCTTGATGTACCACAGTAACGCACATAACCAAGATGGTTTGATAATCCGTCAAATACACAGCTTTGGAAACTTGTTGTTGCTCAACGCGCTCTGCTTTCTTTTGTTCTTTGTGTCAGTTTGTTACATTTGAGATGGTAGCTTTCTAGTAGATACCCTTACCAAAAGACCCCAATCAGAATTGATTTCGTGGAAGCTTGTTTCACCTTTTGCCAGAGTTGTGCCAATGACGCAGTAGCTCACTCTCGTGTGTAATTCCTTGTTGCTACATTAAACCTCGTGTAATTCCTCGTTGCCGCATTAAACCTCTATCAGAATCCCCAATACAAGGATTATCATTTTATAGGGATATGCTCTTTTGGTCCCCAAAAATTTGGGGTTGAAAATGGTTGTATTCACCTCTTCGTCATCAAGATGGATTCCTACTCCTCTCAAAGCACTCTCATACACAGATAATGTCAATATATTTGATAACCAAAGATGGAGAACAAATGCGAGTGGGATAGCAGCAATATTGTCAATTCAAACCATGAAGGCAAGCATCATGAGATAATCATACTTCTCTTATCTGTTTTCATTTGTTATGTGAATCGTATTCCAGTCGCATCTGCTCTTGATTATACCACATCCATATCTTGAATTCTGTACTAACACGGAATTGGTAGATTCTCAAATCGTTGTTGGCGATGAAATGACGAGCAACCAAGCTTTTTCTCAATGCAACAGACCTATGCAAAATCTCACTCCCGACCTTTGCCATAGCTCTGTCCAGGTTGTCAACCGCCCTCCCGCTACAAATGCCATCCAGGATGTTCAGCCAGGCCCTGTTGACAACCCAAACAACATTCAACAGTCCCTGCAACGCATGAGAATTGTGCCAGCTAATACAAAGATGGAAAACAAGCTTTCGCCGGTCACACTCGAACACAGCACAGAGACGGAACGCGTTTTCACTATTTTCTCCTCCCTCCCTAAGGAAGTACAGCTCCAAATATGGAAAGAAGCAATCCTCCAAGATGACCTCTGTCATGTCACCGAAGTGTTCTTCGTTTCAGATTCAGATACGGCACAACCAAATCCTCGATTCATTCCAAACAGACAACCTTCTCCCCTCTTTCTCACCTGTCGAGCCTCACGTGAAGTGGCCCTCGAAGAATTCAATACTCTTTTTTTGCAATACGGATACAAAGACCTCCGAGCTCCATCTATACCTGTCTACTCTCGGTGCTTTGATATCATATATCTCCAATACAAGTCTGTAACTAATCGCTCCCGCGACTTCACGCAAAATGTTCTTGATGCACCATATATTGTCCTCAATGCCGTCAATCAAGGTATCACGAAGCTTGCCGTCAATCTATGTTATTGGTCCTGCCAGGCTTTGCTCAGAGAATTCAATATCTTCAAGAAGCTCGATCATTTGTATATAGTGGTTGAAGATCCAGACGGTGCTGAGCCGCATCGTGACAACACAGGTTATGTTCCTAAAGGAAGACAATTGTTTATGTGCAAAGAGCTTCCGGAGTCTAGAAATATTTCCTTGGAAGAAAGTCAGATACTTCCTACATTGAAACAAATCTTTGCACATATGCAAAAGGACGACCCAGAATGGGTGCCGCCGACTGTGGAGGTGGTGGGCATGAGGGCATTGTAGGATAGTAATGGAGAGGCGTTAACTGGATAATTTACGATAGGCACACGGATACAACGATGGGCGTGCTCTGGTGCAAGAAAGTACCGAGTTCAACATTTTGGGATCAGCGATTTACCAACCGATGATGATGCATTCTCAAATTATGCCAAGATGTGAAAAAACCCAACTGTAATTTTAATCAGAGAATTAAATTTTTGATAATTTTGATTATGTTTATGCTGGTGATGCAATGTCTCGAGAATCCCAATTCTGAATGTGCGTTCTGCGGAAGGCATCTTATCATATTTTGGGTGGGATTCTTCATCACAATAAGAACTGTTGGATACTTAAATAAGAAAGGATGAGTGTTATGAGCAAGTGAAGGCAAAGTAGATGGTATCATACCTCGACAGTCATCTGTCTACTTCAAGTGAGAAATGAATGGTATATATGAATGACCATACATGCATTGATGGTGTTGTGTTCTAAAACTTGCATTCGATGCTTCCTCCAAGCATGACATTGGTCTGAGTGTTTTGCAGACTGAGCCAGAGTATAGGCTCTCTCTCACCTGTAGAAGCAATAATTCTTAATAGTGTTCTTCGCCCTTCACGAATGTCTTTAGAACCAACGCCTCTATTTTATGAAGATATCGGCAAGCCTTAGTATAACTCAAACTCATGAAGGAAAGAAATAGTATGCTGTCCGTGGAAGAAAATTGAAGGACAGCTTGATGTCATTCGCCGCAGGTAAATTAGCAACAGCTCTGTGCAGATGAAATACTGAGAATAAAGGATAATGTGAAGCTGCAGGTCGGAAGTAATGCAAGCTTCCGAAATCCATGTTTGTCCAGATTCCCACCCGCATTTCGGAAGCTTGTTGGGCTATAATTTATGGTTCATGGCGCACCTCCTAGATGCTTGGTATATTTACTCAGTTGGACGCGTGGGTTTTGCACACCTGGGTTTTGGAAAGAACTGGTGGGCGATAGGTTTGAAGAATAATGAAGTGGAAGGCATTCTATGATTGGGGTTTGAACAATGCATGTTGTTTGTTGGTTGGATGAAGGGATTGATCTTTGAGTTAGAGGTATTGTGGGAAATAGAAAGCGGTCATCGAATCTATAAATAATGAACCACTCTATCATTATGGCACTTACATGTTGGAAACAATGCTCGAGCAACGTGAATATCTCATGCAGACTCCCGAGTACCTGCACCTTCTATATCCCTAGGGATCTGAATGAAATCACTGCTTGCTTCCCTACTTCCAAGTTCTACCTTCAGCACTTCAATCACATTTCACCGCTTTCGCTAGCATCCATAACATTTTCAGCTACCATAATTCACCATCTCCCCTCCCACACATATACCCAAACAAACTCAAATCTCTCAACAATTCATCGTACGACCTGGCGCAGTGGCCAATACGACTGTCCACTGCGCTTTAACCACCGCAAGGTGGGTGAGTGTTAAAACCGGCTCGATAAAAGTGACCCCGGAACGAAGGGTTCATGATCGGAAAAAAATTCCTGCCAACTCGGGAATTTTCCAAATCCTGTCTATCATAAAATAGCCAGCAAGGTTTGGTTTTTGCACTTTTGTTCGCCTGGAGATTTTTTTGGGGTGGGCACTGAGGGAGCGTATGAGTGAATTTAATGTGGAACTTGTGCTATGAGTCTCGTTGTCGCGTGGCGGTTGTTATGATCAGCATGTATTAATTTGTAGGTGGTGGATGTGTTTATCGTTTGGAATATGGGATACATACAAAGCTCGTCACTATTGTACAAGGCCGAGATTTTGGGTGCAAGTAACTCAACTACTTTTGGTGGTTTGAATTTGGCATCGTGGATTAATGTGTTGATGCTCCCTCAAAATACTGACCGGTGTGCGTTGAATTGTCCTGAGTGCGAACGACAACGAGTCTAGCTTCACTTATTACGTTCTACTAAGGGAACCTCAGCCCCTCAAGATTGCGCATGTTATTCCTTTCCAAATCCAATGTTCTAATCTCCTGAACAACCTTTTTGTGGGCGCCAATGTAGAATCAATACCAGTGATAGCCTTCTGTTCACCAATCTTAAAATGCCACATAGTTCGCCTATGGTTCCTCTATTTCACTATGCAGCTAGCAAGAGATATAGACAGAGATGGCAATGGAAATGCACTAGCATTATCGCTGATGACATCCAAGTAGCTGAACCTAGATCTTTTGACTTCTGTATAGCTAAGCGTGGTCACTTCATAGAACTCAGAGTAATACATAGAAATGTGTGCTATAGTCAACTTTCCCACAACATCAGCAAATGACTTTACTTACGTTTTCGTATCTGAAACTATTTGAAATACCCAGACTCTCCATTAGATACACTTGTAATAGAGCATAACGTACATTCAGGGTGTGGTGCGAGTCAATTTGAGTAAGCAAAAAAATAAGATTCTTCGACAAAATACCTGTATGGGAATCTGCCGAGGGGGTCAGATATTTCCATGTAGCATGTTTCCAAAACTCTTGGTGTGTCGGAACATAGGCCACCACATATAAATGATCAGAAACTGATGATTCTAAGGAAATGCAGACACACTTCTGTCACACTCTACTATTCAGTTGATGTTGAACGGGAGGGATTGCCTGTTCTCAGCGAGGTTTGCTCCTGTTCCTTTGTATTCTGATATGATCTCTCATACCCCAGTCAACTCGCTGATCAAATCTTCCCCTTTGATGTTATAAGCGCTCTCCTCTTCTCCCTCGATGAGCTTATTGGGGTGCGTTCTTTGAGCTGCTGAGTGAATAAGAGCTCGTTTCGCATCGCACTCCACCTTTGATGTTAAATCCGACGCAGCGTGATTCGCTGACTGACCTTCTCCGCATAAATTAGTCAAACTCTTGAAATCTTATCAGATCACTTCTCAGATCTAATCTGATCCTCGGGATTCCCGCGTTACACCAATATATGCATCTTGTTACTCTTCCACATGAATACCACTTTATCACACCATCTTCTCACGGAATGGATACACAGCACCGTTCGAAATGTTGTTGTTCATACAACTTCACAACTATTGACGAAGGACGATCCGGAGGAGAAGCCGGATGAGAATAAATTCCAGAAATTGATCGACGGAGCGCTTTATAATGAGAAACTTATCAATACTTATCCTTGGGTTATTTTAGGGTTTGTGTTGGCTCTTTCGGGGATACACTGGGGGGAGAAGGCTGTACGATGGAGGAGGAGGGCTTCATGGAAAGGAGGGGAGAGATGTTCATACGATTTACTGGACGATGGACCATCAAAGACAATTCGAGAGGAGGCGATAGACTATGGCGGTGCTAGCTCGTCCGGGAGCAGTACATTTGGATCGAATACTCCTTCCATTGAACACGATGATGAAGGCGAACGTATGCCCCTATTGTCCGGAAGTCAGTTTCCCAATAGCACCCCGTCGAATCGAATCACCGTCATCTCCCGCATTAAAGCGTTCCTCGTCTACCAACCTCGACCAATCCCCTATTTCAACAAAGGTCTCCCTTCTAACGGCTCTTCAATATTCATTCTATCATTTCTCGCCCTCAACATCTTCTACACCTTCTACAACATCTCATTTACATGGTTCGAAGCCTCCGTGCTTGGAGACCGAGCAGGCCTAATATTCGGTGTCAATCTCCCACTTTTATACATCCTCGGTGCAAAGAATCAGCCACTTAAAGTTCTAACGGGTGTTTCTTATGAATCTTTAAATATTATTCATCGACGGCTTGGAGAACTAATTATGGTTGCTGCGCTCATTCACGCTGGTGCCATGTTCGTGATGTGGTATGTGATTTTGGTACCATTTAGCGGTTGGACAATCTGGGATTTTCTAACCAATCCGTGTATCTATTTGGGACTATCGGCTTTATTCACATACAAATCATTATATGTAACGTCACTGGCATCGTTTCGTCAGCGATGGTACGAGGTGTTTTTGGGATTGCACGTTGTGTTGCAAGCTGGTGCTTTGGTCATTTTGTATTTCCACCACAGGGGAACGAGAACTTATGTTGGTTGGGCTCTTACAATATTCCTCGTGGATCGCTTGGTATATCGTCTTTGCGCGAAAAGCATTATGGCTGAGGTTAGTTTTTGCCTCGTCTTCTTCACTCTAACACAACTAATTAGCTCTTACCTAGGCCAAAGTCAGCATTTGTCCCGATAATGAAACCCTCCTCTTAACCTTCAATCTCCCCAAATCAACCACCACAATCTTTTTCCAAACCCTCGGCCACTCAATCTCTTCCGGCTGGAACGCAACCGACCACGTTTTCCTAACCATCCCCTCTCTAGGACGTTCCCACGCACTCCAAGCCCACCCCTTTACAATCGCCTCTCCAGCTCCCCTTCCCTCCTCTAAAACCTCCAATCTCACCCTCCTAATTCGAGCCCGCTCCGGATTCTCCGCCGATCTCCTTCGTGCTGCCCAAGTCAAAAACACACTAAAATGTCGTCTCGATGGTCCATACGGAAGTAGTCATGCTCGTTCTCTTCTCGAAGATTCGGATCTCGCGATACTAGTTGCAGGAGGGAGTGGAATCGCTGTTACGTGGCCGATCATACATCATCTCCTGAACATTTCAAGTGACGGTGAAGATCCCGAGACTGGAGCACGGACGACTAGGAGAAGACAAAGAATTGTGATGATTTGGATTATTCATAAAAGTGCCCATCTTGAATGGATTGATGAGAAGGAGAGGGAAGAGCTGGTGAGGAAGGGGGTGGAGATTGTTATCCCGGGTGCTACGACGGAGGTTGGGAGACCGGATTTAGATGGGTTGATGGAGGGTATTGTTTGCGGTTCAAGTAAAGAGATAGAGAAGAGACAGAAGATAGGTGTGGTGGTTAGTGGACCGGATGGATTGAATCGAACGGTCAACAATAAGTGTGCAAACTTGATACGAGAGGGTAGAGATCTAGAGGTTACGATTGAGAAATTTGGATGGTAAATATGAGGGCTTTCTTCTTGTTTCTTTTTTTCTTTTTAAAGCTTCACTTGGGTTGAGTTGGCACATAGAGAGCGGATATTTCTTGGGCATCCCTTGGTATTTTGAATTTAGCATTGGCGAAGAGCGGTTATGATGAGATGATGAGTTGAGATGAAGATATATGGTACATAGGTAGTGATTACTACATCCTGCATACACGATACCAAGCAATTAGAAACTACATACATATATAGAATTACACAATTAGCAAATACCACATATTTAACAAACTTCTCATTTCTTCCTCTAGAACCAGAATGATGGTCTATACTACTAATAATCTAGATCAAGCTCCACCCCCCCCTTGCTTCTCGGCTCGTCTGTACCATCTAGATTCCATTTTAAGACTCTGTGTAGCTACAAGTCGAATAATCAGAGCAAAATTCTCCTTATTATATAAACTAGTCGAAAGAGGTCTTTACTTTTGGAGTCTTACAAGTTACATGAATAAACACATGAATATACACATATCCAACCCAGCATAATCAAATACCCCTAACCCAAACCAGAATCCAAATCAAGATACACAGTATCCCATCCCATCACACTGCCATGAAAAAGATACGATTCAAAACTCTACCTAAATTCCAAATGTCATCATCACTCTGAAATCAGCAAACATACAAAATGCATACCACAGTGCCAGTATACCCAATGATAGTCCAAATAAGCAGATCATTCGTGATTGATATCTACCATTAATATCACTATTCGGAGACTCTGTCATTTCTAAGGATTCTAAATGACTTCTGATTCGATCTTATATCCCAAATCTCAAATCCCAAATTAAAGAATCTCCACCCCTATAAAACTCCAACCACATAGACCTCCAACCATCCCCCCCCTAAAGTCTCAAACTGAACCTCGGACCGCAATCCAGCCAGTAGAAACCCATAATTCAAGAGTTATTAGACATCCAAAGACACTAGATGTACTATATAGTGTATTACTCGCTATATATAATTTATAGGTTATAGATCTCTCTCTATTTGAGTTCTATCTTCATCCTCTTTCATCCTCTTGTCTTATACACATGTACTCCTTTGTATTTCCATCTTCCTATTACATTGTCTCCTTCCAAATATACTCTATACTCTATCCCCTCTCCCGAGTTCTTAATCCTCTTCCTCTTCCTCATTCACCTCCCTATATTCCTCACTCTCACTCTCACTCTCACTCTCACTCTCACTCTCACTCTCACTCTCACTCTCACTCTCACTCTCACTCTCACTCTCTCCAAACACCTCCCTTTCAAATAAACATCTGAGAATCACAAAAGACTTTGAGAAAAGTAGATTTCCTACCCCCCTTATTCTCTTCATTCTCTTCATTCTCTTCATTCTCTTCATTCTCAACCCCAAGTCCAAGTCCAAGTCCGAAGTCCAAACCAGATTTCAGTTTAATCTAATTCCCCGTTCAGTTCAGACTCTATTCCAGTCCCAAGTTTAATTCAAAATTTAGTTCTGCATTCGATCCAGAGTTTAATTCACAATCCAAAGTCTGATCCAAAATCTAATCCAAAGTCCAAACCAGATATCAGATACCAGATACTAGAGTCCTAAGCCCCATCCAATCCAAAGCCCAGCTTAGTCCAAAGTCTCATCCAGAATCCAGAGTCCAATCCCAAGCTTAATCCGGAATCCAAAGTTCAATCCAGAGTTCAATCCAAATCCAATTCAGTCTCGGTGCAAACTCCAATTCAGATCTCAGCCCAGTTCAGAGTTCAGAGTTCAGATTTCAGAGTTCAAACTCCAAACTCCAAACTCCAAACTTCAAACTTCAAACTCCAAAGTCCAAAGCAAATCAAAACTCTAAAGTCCAGATCAAAATCTAAAGTCTAAAGTTTCCTCCCGATTCAAATCCAATCCAGACTCCAATCCCGAGTCCAGTCCAAACCAATCTCCCCTAATCTACATTCCAAACCATACCCATCCAAAATCCAAGCCAATACCCAAGTCTACCCAAGTCTACCCACTCACCCACCCACCAACTTCACCCCCCTCACAACTCACAATCCAATATCCATCTACTACCTAGGTAGGCATCACAAAAGCATATCATCACATTACATTTACTTCACCACACCAACCCCCAGATCTCGAGGTCCCCAATCCCCAGTCTCCAGTTTCCAGTTTCCAGTTTCCAGTTTCCAGTCTCCAGTCTTCAGTCTCCAGTCTCCAACCCCCAAATCTCAAAATCCAAACCCATCAATCCCCCCTCGCAACCTCGCTTGGCCGTTCTCCTTCCCCCCCATTCAGCACGTTTACATTTACCAGACTACTCGTGCACATACATTAAAGCCATACTAATTCAATGATGGGCGGCATTCAATCACCATGTAGTCACACATACAATCAAAGTCTCGAAATCTCAAACAATCCCAATTAAGTAAAAAAGTACCAATACCAAATCCCATATCTAAAGTTCTGTTTCTGTCTGTACTGAACTACCAAAAGGATGAAAAAGAAGAAAAAACGCAAAACCTCGCATCGATAGAGTCTTTTTTTCTCCATTCCCTCAATTGTATGCATCCATTTCTCTCCATGCTCCATCCATGACACTATCTTAATTTTTCCACGTGTAACATGTATTTCTTCCCAATTTCATTCTCATTTCCATTTCCATTCACAACCCAACTGACATCTCTGATGACACCTCAACACCCATTCGCTCAACCACACGCCAACCAATCACAATCAACAACAACTCCCTTCCCATTATATACATCTACTGAGCAGCTGGCGCAGGTGCCTGAACACCCTCCTCACTAGGAACCGGAGCTGGAGCACTGGTTCCAGTTGGGACCGCACCTGCATTAACATTCTCGGTGTTGATAACATGTTGATCACCATTTGTCGATGCCCACTTAGGAGGTTTAGCCCAAGCAGGATCTGTCCAAGGACCCTCATCACTCAATGCACAACCACCCTTACACTCGCAGCTACCTCCAAAAACCTTCGGTAAGTTCTCCTTAGGAACTTGCGCCAATAATTCCTTTTGATAACCCGATCCCAAAACATGAATCTTCTCAACGGTAATAGGATCCAACCAACCCTTAACAACACCAAAAACGGTAGAGAAACCCCATGGTGCATTGATCAAATACAATTTTCCAAGACGCTCTGGATAATAGTTTTGGGACATGCCAGAGGCTTGTTTGACGTATGCGTAAACAGAAGGGACCTTGGAGAGTCCAACGCCCTTGAGATCCATAATGGTGCAGCAGGTTTCGAGGAGAGAACCAGCTTTGCGAGAACAGGCTGGGAGACGGGGATCTGCCATCTTCTCGTACTCGACAGCGAGGTTCTGAAGCATACGCTCGGAAGTGGTGATTTTGTACATGGCGTTGAGGTCAATGTTGCCCATTTGTTCAATGTAGACTGGACGGCCATCCTGTGGGTGAGATATGTTAGATCGTGACGGGTAAATACGAGCAAGGACAATCTCGCAAAAGAAACCAAATAAAGCCAGAAAATACATACCTTATCAGTCTTATGATAATATTGAGGATAGTACTTGAAAACCTCCTCCTTCTCCTGATAATCAAAAGTACGGACGAGTTCATCAAGACCGAAATCTTTTCTCCACTGCTCTGCATCTACGAACCTATTCTCTAGTATCAGTATCCATAGTTCTTCCAATATATCTTGACAATCAAAATTGTATATATCGAGGGTTCTTACATCTTCTCAGCCAATGTGACATCGAACTTACGTGCTCGTAAGAATCGAAGCTGCGAAGAGACAACAATTAGCTATATTCGATATGCAATCTCCTTTCCCATCAATGCTTCGCACATTATCAAACACTCAAACCAAGTAACCAACAGCGATTAAGCACAGAAAACAATCTCGATCATCAAAAACACTAGTAGATTCCCCCCTCTCGCCTCTTCCCAAGCTCAAGCATCAACACCAGCACCAGCACCACAAAAAGTAAACAAACAAACAAAAAAACAAACATACCAAAGTAAGCGTATCCAATCTCTCCGTAAACCCCGCCGCCTCCAACTTCATCCTCAACTGCTGCACCTGCGCATCCTGTTCTGGTGTTGTATGTCCCGGGTGACCACTCTGAGCCGTGGGCGACGTGGTAGGGAAATCATAATGATCGTATTTAGGATCGAGTTTAATTTCTGGATTGGCTGCCATGTTGTCTGACTTTCACGGGATATCCTATCTCAAAAAAATTCTCTGGGTAATATGTGCGGAGAAGAATAAAAAGAAGAAAGGGAAGTTATTGTATGGGGGAGGTGTCGATGTGCGCACAGAGATTCAACTTCTTGCCAGGTAAGTTGGCGGAACTAATTATTAGATCCCAGAGGGGCTCTAGCTTTACGAGGCTGGAAATGGTCCCTGATATTGTGTTTATGTCCCAATTATTACCTGCAAATTGTATATAACATATATTTCATTATACAATTTAAGATACAAAAAAGCTCAAATTTCATTTTGTCCTTTCGTTTCTTCTCATTTAATATGTGATTGATTTACAATCCTAATTCATCAAAGTAAATACTCAACTTTGCCTTCTTTTTCCCCCTACAAATATTAGAGTGTACGTATGAGTTCACGATGATTACATACCTACACCCTGTAAGCGAGTTTGGTATGGAAAAGTTCCCCTGATTGATCCCCTAATCAGGGGCAGGTACTCAACCTCAAATCAATATATCTATCCTTCGATATCAAAAAAAACCGTTGGAAGCAAACAAGACCAAGATTAAATCTTACAAGTATATCGCAGATTACACGAGCATGCATTTCCAGGGCAAGAGGTAAATCACATGGGGACTTCTGCTTACTCTGTACGGAGTCTATTGTTCCAAAGTTTCTAGCAAGAGCCAGGAGACTTCGGTATGATATATATTGATCAAATATCAACACACCAATGAAATATCAAGAATTACATTTCTCTACATCAGATCTCGAAGATCTTGTTTTTCTTCTCCTTGTATTTGAACCAGAGATGCTTTTGTTCGAGTTCTCCTGAATATCATCAACATCATCGTCATCATCTCATAAGAAAGCTCCCATCGACATCCCAGAACTTTATGTTTTCATTATTTCTCCTCCAAAGACTCTATCAACCATTAGAACTACCAGTCTTCCCATCCTTTTCCTCTGCAACCTCCGATTCGTTTTTCTCTTTTCTCTTCATCGTAACATCCCAATTGTATACCCTAGCTGTAGCAACCTCCATAGTCTATTCATTAAAAGAGTTTCATCAGCTTAGTCTCTCTCCACTCCGCAACCCTTTCTTTTCCCCAGTTATGGTCTGTGGGTGAGGTGGAGTAAACATACCGTAATCTGTTCTCTCAAGAAATCCAAATCCTCCTCGCAATTCGCGAAACTTTGTTTTGCAGCCGCGAGTCTGTTTGAAAGTAATTCCTCTGCCTCATCAATCGGATATGCTAACATAACATTTGCCTGCCACCTTGTCAATATATCTCCACCACCTTTGCCCTAAATGTTGAACATACCCCTAACCATAAATAAACCTCCTCTGTAGCCGGAATATTGGCTTTGGCATATAAAGTATCATTCAACTCAAACGTAGCCTGTATAGGATCCGCACCTTCCTATCAGAAACATATCAGCTCCAATTTCTCAAACCCCTCCGCTCACAACATAGAACAAACATACCTTCCTCGTCTTCAAAAACCTTACCGTATCCAGTGTCTTCTGAATATCTGGCATATTGATTTTCAACCCCGCGATTCTCTTTTGTTGATTTACCTCCATAAACTGATATTTCCTACACAAATTCCAAAGTATGAGCTTCTGATTTCCCAAATCGACCAATGCCCCGATGCCTCGATTTTCCCAAGTCCAAGTCCCCAAAGCAAACACTCCTCCATATGTATCAAATATCCAAAAAACTATCCAAAAAAATATCTAAAAATAGAGCTCCAACCTACGAAATCATCTCCTGGAATCTCTTCAACGTAGGCTCAACATCCGCCCTCGTAGTAACATAATCCTCGACTCGATCCACGAATGGTGCATATGGAATACCTCGCTCATTTGTGCGAGCGGCATCTTTTCTGAAGAGTTGGGTGTTAGCTAGTTTTCTGCGGATCATAAGAACCTCTTCTCTGCAAATGGCAGCAAAATCTTCTCCGCAAGCTTCAGCAGGCTCCAAAATCCATCTCCTCTGCAGATCAAATTCCATAGTTCATCTCACAGCCATCCGCAACTCGGCATTCTGCGACTTGGGGAACGCTCTTGAAAGGATAGACAAGAAGGACCTCTCTTCCTGCAGAATTGAAGAATTGGGCAGTTTCATTTACAAATGCAGATTCTTTACTTACTTAGTATCTGTATCCGCCATATTTGGCGTCTGCGAAACAAGAATGTTTATGTTATTCAAAATTATCGAAACTGCCCACTACAGCATACAGGTAAAGTTCTCGCTTATGTAATACTGTGGTGCTGCTGCATCATCTTCACCCCCGCCAGATGTAATGTCACACTTTGTGCGCTTCACAATCTTCATCATCGTAGGTTTTTCGTGGCATTCTTTGAATGAGTTACATCATATTTATTCACGATTAAAACAATCTCGCAAAGAACAGTTTTTTTCATCAGTATATCTGTATTCTGTATCGTACTAATAGATGTGTAGACATCAAAAACTAATGTGATAATGACCAACGATCAATGGGCAATTGTAGGCTTTCTGAACAAGGAAAAGTAACCCTCCTCCCCAAAGAGAAAACCATGCATGACAGTTATTATTAGAGAAATGAGAACTCCCTATTCTACACACTAAAAGGAAATTCCCATCGCCGATTTCCGTCCTCAAGTTACTCGAGGGCATTCAATTTGTTACAACTTTAGCACTTTGGCTTGATGAAAGTATATTTATGCCTTGGCCTTAGCAAGACCAACAGTGTTCTTACCAAGGTCATAGACGGAGTAGTATCTTCGGAGGAAAGCATCACCCAAGATAGCAAGAGGTCCAACTGGTTCTGGGAAGTCCATACCCTAGTAGATTGTTAGCAGACATCCATAAATAGAATCAGTGCAAAAAGAAAACTTACCATGAAGGTGGAGATACAGGAGTCTTGAACCTCGAGAATGTAGTCGTAAGGGCCAATAGCGAAATCATGACCGCTTAGGGTGAATGTAAGATCTGGGAGACTGTCACGCTTGGCACAATCGACAGTGTATTGACCGTTCCATCCCTTCTTAGCACCGATTTCCTTGTTGAGAAGCTCAGCAAGGGTGGTTGGGAGGGCGATGAGAGAAGTTCCGGTGTCAAGTATAACACCAGTGTTATCAAGCTCGGCCTTGGCATCACCAAAGGCGATCGCATCAAGGTCAACTTCCCAGTAAGCCTTACGTCTCAATGGGATCTCGGTGATCTTGCCCTCGTAGTGGTCCTTGTTGACGCCACCGAAGATAGCCTCGGATGCGTCAGTCTCGTCATTGGAACCCAAGTAGAAGGCGAAAACTGGCTCGTCCAAAAGACCTTGATCGATCATGCTGTAGAAAGGTGGAACGATTTTGTTTACGGAGATGGTATCATAACCAAGACCCAAGATACCGTCAAATCTACCGAAGGCAAATGCAAGACCAGGCTCTTCAGTAGCTTCGGCGAAGACTTGGTCCTTAATCTTCAGGTCACCAATGGACATAACGTCCTTGGAGGTGAAACCACTCAAGCTTCCTGAACCATATCGGATCTCGAATGAAGTTCCATTTGCCTTGTAGGTAGATGATGAGGATGAGTCGTACTTTGTGTGAAGGTAGCATGCGATGGAACCGCACTGGGAAGATGGAACCCAAAGGTTGGAACTTCCGGTATCAAGGACGACCTTGAATGTTTGTGGTGGTGTACCGATAGTAATTTCTGAGAAGTCTATTCGGAAGTTAGCATCTGATTAATATCTGTTGCTGGTGTACGTCCTTACATTGAGCGTTGAGGAAGTTGGAAACTGGAACAGTGTGGTCGCCTGCGTCGTGAACGGAAGTCTCCTTGAACATCTCACTGGCATGAGATTCAGGTCGAACACCCATATACTTTTGACCCAAGTGTTTGGCATGCTCCTGCATGTTGGCAGTCGCAAGTTGCTCACTCAAGGATACCTTCTTGAGAGGCATCTTGTGAACCCCGGCGCTCACACTGCCGAGCAGCGATGCTGCGGCGAAAACTGCACCCTTCATGATGTAGAAGTAATTCGTATGTAGATGTTTGGATTGTATTAATGAATTAAGAAGATGAGAATGATATCTTTGATGGAATTGCAAGTTGTTGATAAAGTAGAAGAGTTGGTTGTTGATAAGAGAAAGGAAGATGGCTGAGATGAAGGTAGAGAGCTTCAGAGTATTAGAAAGAGCAAAGCACAGCAGCACGAATGAATGACGATAGCGGTCGCCTATTACGGTTGCCTCCACAGCCCGGCCCACTAATACGCTCAAAAAGTGAGATTTAACCAATGAAAAGTGATCATTAGTTCTAGTCGAGTACATTGGCGCAGGACTTAAAATGATTAGAGAGATACCGATACCCCGACATTTCGAAAAGGGAATCAATCATACATAACATACCTTGGTAGCTTCAAGTACCTGCCTTGATCTATCAATGTCAGTTTCAGAAACAGTGACAGTACAAATATGCGAATACCTTGTACTTACGTAGTATCTGGATAATCAAACAATTCATCGCCACATCTATTGATCGATCTACGGAGTAAAGACAGATAATAATAAATAGATCACATGCTCAACTACCTACTACCCACCCTGTCTCCGTATACAAATACTACCTGTATAATATATAATACTGGTTATATAAGATCAAAACACCATATTACTTTATCATCAAAACATCAACATCAATAATCATTATACACTCCAAATATCCATCAACGACCATCCAGTATCAACCTTTCCATCCTACCTACCTACCTACCTACCTACCTACTAACCACCCAAATAACCTTGGAACCATCCGTACCCGTATCCCAATCCCTTAGCTTAAAACTCAATGAGAATCTTATCATGTCATGTCAGGCACAACGCGAACACTGCTTGTGTGGATCCGGCGCCAACCGCCTTTTCGCCCCAGAATTCAGGAACACAGGAAGTTCGGAGTGGCTTGCCTCGGATCAAAAGAAGGTGAAGGAACGTCGGAATTGGTGAAGATAAACTACTACCTACCTAGCCACATATGATTCATTGTCTCACCCAGGTAGATACCGGTGTGTAAAGTAAAGTCGTGAACAAGAATAGATACGATTTTGCTCAAGCAAATAATGAACCATATTATGTACCTACCTGCCTAGGTAGTATTTTACCTAATCATCCTGGTCAGATCTTAACCTAAATTCATCCCTCACGCAGTACGTTCAGCGCCCATAATGTTTATTCAAAAGACAGAAATGGTAGGTGATACAAGATCGGTAATCTTTTTCCCCAGTGAACATTCACGTTTTCGTCTCTAATACGTAATACTGCAATACAAAGTGACGATAGAAACAGTTGATTTTCTATCTAGGTATCTCATATGGTCTATTGAATTCGACCTCTAAACTTTTCCCCTCATAAACCCCCTGCCACTCCCTGGTATATCATGACGACGTTGAGTCAGTCAAAAGAAGTAGCGCCTGCAAATGATGAATCCTAATTGCTTTTTCTTACCCACACCCAAACCATGAACACCATAACCAAATGCCAAATTAGTCAAACGTTTACTCTCTCCAGCCCTCGACTGGGAGAGGGAAGCTGCTGGCCCACTCAGCAATCTCCTTTCTCAATTCGTTGATCTTCTCAACTTCACCACCAGCGACCTTAGCCTTGAAATCCTTAAGCTTGTTGTCACTCTTTGGTAGAGCAGCTTGGACTTCCTTGCAGATCTTGATGCTTTGATCAATGTATGATGCAACTCTCTTGAAGTCCTCAGTACCGAATCCACGACTGGTCATAGCTGGGGTACCGATACGGATACCGCAAGGGGTCAAAGCAGACTTGTCACCTGGAATAGAGTTCTTGTTGCAAGCAATATTGATTTGCTCCAAGACAGCCTCAACACGGGCACCGTCAAGTGCTTGTGCTCTGAGATCGAGGAGAACCATGTGGGAGTCAGTGCCGTCAGCTACGAGCTTGTAGCCCAATTGCTTGAACTCGTTCTCGAGAGCCTTAGCATTGTCAACAACTTGTTGTTGATATTTCTTGAAGTCATCAGTCGTGGCTTGTTTGAGGGCAACGGCAAGAGCAGTAATGGTGTGGTTGTGTGGTCCACCTTGGTGACCTGGGAAGACGGAGAAGTTGATTGGGCCTTCGAGATCGTAAAGGGTCTCCTTTCCGGTCTTGACATCAGTCTTACGGACACCCTTGCGGAAGAAGATCATGGCACCACGAGGACCACGGAGAGACTTGTGGGTTGTGGTAGTAACGATATCAGCATGTTCGAAAGGACTTGGGATGACACCAGCGGCGATCAAACCAGAGATGTGAGCCATGTCAACAACGAGGTAAGCACCGACAAGATCAGCGATCTTGCGCATACGGGCGTAATCGATAAGACGGCAGTAAGCAGATGTTCCAGCAACGAGAACCTTTGGTCTGTACATCAGAGCGTTGGCCTCGAGTTGATCATAGTCGATGATACCAGTCTCCAAGTTGACACGGTATGGGAAGGTCTCGAAGTATGTTGATACGGCAGAGATTCTGAAACATTCGTTAGTTGGATGAAAATACTGAAGAGACGACAATTTTGCGACTCACTTTCTCTGGGGGGTTTGGTAACCGTGGGACAAGTGACCACCGTGTGGGAGATCAAGACCCATAAGTCTGTCATGAGGTCTCATGATAGCTTGGTAAACTTGGAGGTTTGCTGGGGAACCAGACAAGCATTGAACATTGACACCCCATTTCTCAGAATCCAAGTTGAATGCCTTGAGAGCACGAGCTTGGCAGGTCAACTCAATAGAGTCAATGTGTTGGTTTCCACCATAGTATCTAGCACCTGGGTATCCCTCAGAGTATTTGTTTGACATGGGTGATCCCAAAGCATCGAAAACAGCACGGGAAGTAACATTCTCGGAGGCAATGAGGATAATCGATTCACGCTGACGTTGGATCTCGAGTTTCTATATGTTCTCGTCAGTAATTGGCATGGTTGAGGAGATGCATTGAGTTACTTACCATGATCTCAGCGATCTCAGGATCAGTCTCAACCAAAGACTTTTCCAACATCTGTGAAACAATGAGTCAGTAAAATTGCCCGACAATTTTGATCGCGGGGCACTTCATATGATAACGAACCTCTTGGTGAGACTTGGGGAGGGCGTATGTAGACATAATTGCAATTTGATACTTTTAAATGCAAAGGAGAGTGTAGATAATTTGTATATTGAAATACTGGAGTGAAGTTTGCTTGAGAAAATAAAAAAAAGATGAGAGGTCAGACAAAGAAGTACAAAAATTTAGCCAAGCTAAAGAGTTGCCCCTCCAGCAGGCTAGCGGGATCGGAGTGGATTTCAGCCAATGAGACCCCACAACCACTGTCGACGTGACTCGCTAAAATGAATATCCCGCATTAAAAAATATGGTGCGGGGGAACTATGGTGAAATCACGGGACAATTGATTATATTCTGGTTTGCATGAGGACGAATTCAAAGGTCAATCCTACTATTGATGGAAGAGTTGTATGGAGATTTGGTGTGTAATAAGATCTGGATATGCTCTTGAATTGATAACTTTACTATCATCAAATCTACGCAGTGGTGGTCATTACACAACTGCCCGGGGCTACTTGCTTGCTCTCATTGTCAAAGACGGAAGGCACGAAAAAGTTCGAGGTCTCCATGAAAGGGGCTCGCTTGAAGTATCCAGAAGGAAATTTACACGGGGATTTGTTCAATGAATGAGGTTCATTCACAGAGTTTCTTGAGTATATTTGGTCCCCGAAACGAGGTATTGCCAGGACTTTAGTTCTCCATTGGTGAAAGCAAGTAGTTCTCAATACGCAATATCTCCCATATCAAAAATTATCAGTACGAGACTCCAAACGTCTCTTTTTCGCCTCCATTTGCGCCTTTTCCTCCCATTTTACTTCATCCTTCGTGTTTGCCATACTCGAATCTTCATTGACAAACGTTGCTGTAGCTGTCTTCCTCGTACTCTCCGCATGCGAGGACAGGGGTTCTACAGTCGAACCGAGCGTCGCAGGCCGAGACTGCGAGATATCCTTACTCGGACTTGATCTCGCCTTCCCCGATGGGAGTATGCGAAGCGGTGAAGCTATATTATTAGTAGTCTTCTCGGGGCCCGAATCTGAATGATGATTTACTCGTTGACGAAGTAGCATAGGCTGATTCACGAGTTCAATTGCTGTCTGTTTCTTCAATATTTTTAGTTCCTGTAATCCTATAGAGGTTGATGGTAACAAACTCTTGTGCTTTTTCTTCTTATCTCCAGAATCCTTGTGCTTCTTCTTCGATGAGCGATCCGCACTTTCTTTAGAGTCCTTTTGGCTCTTTTTCGATTTATCGGATTTTGATTTCTTCGCCGGTGGTGCATCTTCCATCTCCACATCTGATGCTTCGTCTTCCGACATTGCTAATTTTTGGAATTTGGGAGCGCGTTCTTCTGACTCGTTCTCATCCTCGTCAGATCCAATGATACCAGGTGCGCTCGCAAAGCCAATTGGTTGGTATCGCGCCTTTAGACCTTTAGGTTGTTGACGAACAGGTCGCTTCGCGGGCACTGTAGCTTTGCTGGAGTTCTCTTTAGAAAGGTTAACGACTTGCTGCATATGATATATTTGATCCACGGATTTTTTCTCTGTGATTATATGTCAGTATACTGATGCGCATTAGTAGACGGAGTAGGTTACCAATAGAGTAACCATCTTTAGAATTGCTTGGTAACAATATCTTGGTATATGCCTTATCATCAAGCGGGTCGTGAACGAAACCATAATCGTTGCCATTCTGTGAAAATACTGCTTTGCCCAAGTATGCATCTCGCATCGACATCTCCGTTACAGAAGCAATGGGTACCGACGCAGGTGCTGTGATATACCAAATTTCTTTTCCCTCTAAATTAGACTTGCTGAATAACTGTGGTGCTTTACTGGAATTCTTTGAAGAAGACTTTTCGAATCCGGGAGGAGGCTTGAAGGGCGCAACTTTCATCGATACTGTTTTGGCATCTTTCCTGATATGATATTAGCAAAAAAAGGTAGAGTCTGTCAATCTTGGTAAAAGCTTACTTAGAAGATGATAGCGCAGCAGACTTCTTTGCATTTGCACTTGATTCGTCTTCAGACTCGTTCTCATCGCTCCCGCTTTCACTTTCACTCTCCGCGGAGCTCTCAGCCTCGGAACTGTCGCTACTCTCTGCGGTCTTGCCCTTGGATTGGGACTTGGATTTCGATGTAGATTTCACAGCGGGGTTTGAAGGCAGAGATTCGCTGTCGCTATCTGATTCTGATTTTTCTTCCTTTGGCTCGTCATTTTCGTTGTCGCTTTCTCCAACAAACTCGGAGCTTTTGAAATCTTGCGGTGATTTGACAATTGGAGTTTTGGATGCAGTTTTGGCAGAGGATTTCGAGGAGGATTTTGAAGAATCTACCTTTTTCTTTCGCTCACTAAGAGTCACTTTGGAAGGCCCCATTATGATTGAGTATATTATTGTTTTAGGAGAAATTGAGGGAGGATTGGTTCAATGGTAGTTGTAAATAAATTGAAAATCGCATCGAAACTTTTTCTTTGGCAAGGCCGAGCCTTGCTCGGAAAAACATCGGATCTAAGTTTTTCAATACCCCGAGCTGCTATCAGAACTCTCCTCTCGAACTTATAATTTTAATTATATAAGAACTCGTTTTATTGATATAAATTATTCAAAAAATGTCAAGTAAAAGAAGAAAGTTAGATTCTCCTATTAAACCCCGTAAGTTTATTCTGTTACAAAAACAAAAACATATTTACTAAATTCAATATAGAGCTCAGTGCTGTGAGTGCTTTCGCAGCCAGAAAGGCACATGCTGCTGCCCAGAGCACTAGCAGTTCACCAAAAGAGACCTCATCCTCTCCAAATAGTAATGAGAGAAACTCTGAGCAGGTTACAAATGACGTCCCATCCAGAAACTCTAAGCGTGGAAACCCGAGTCCGGTCAAAAATGATCTTCCTTCCATAAACCCAGGCTTTATTGTTGAGGGAAATGGACGAGGAGGAGAGTTAGAAAACCATATCTTGAGGTGTGTTCTTTACTCCCACTGGATTATGATATTAATCCTCTAAATAATGTTTTAAACCAGTTCTGATTCACGTGAGCAGTCACCTGAAGTGATTTCAAACCGACCGTCGATGGTCTTGTCTACTTTCAAGCCTAGTGATGATAATACCAAGGTGCTCAAAAGCAGAATACTGGTGTTGAAGCTTGCACCTGGTGAGGTCAGTGATAATATGTCGGTTAACTATATAATCTAACTTCTTATAGAGATTGGTCATTCTCGGACAATGTAATCTTGAAGTTGCTCAAGGACAAATCACTATTTTAGGGTCAATGCTAAGAGCTTCGAAAACTAAATATCCAGTATATGCAGCGACTTCATATTCATTACCAGTGATTAGATGTCCAGATGGGGAACTAAACCATGCAGTTCTCCGCCTCCATCAATCTGATGGTGGAATAAGATCCTTAGAGTCTCTCTCCCCACTGTTTGGAAAGTTATGGAACGAGGATGCCCGAGCCTTCAAATCAGTGCATAGTCATCTTGCGGCAAAGCTTGGAAAAAGCACATTTCAGATTATACACAAATCCTATCTGCAACCAGTTATTTCACCACCAGAATGGAACAAGACCTTATCGAAATTGTCCAGCTCCACCCAAACTACAAAGAGGATCATGCTCTGTGGCCCCAAGTCATCCGGGAAGTCGACCTTTGCGAAATTGCTTGTAAACCGACTTTTGCCTGCAAGTCATAATGAGAATAGTTCAAATTCAAGAAAGGGTCCCGGTGTTGCACTACTTGATCTTGATCCAGGGCAGCCGGAATATTCTCATCCTGGACAAGTATCTCTCATTCATATTCAAGAACCAAATTTTGGTCCCTCAGTTACTCATCCTATACCGGGAACTAGCAGTCGTATAATTCGTGCACATGCTCTAGGCGCAGTGTCACCATCTATGGACCCAAGTCTCTACATGTCATGTGCACTCGATCTATTTACACATTACCGCAATCTAGCCTCTCTCCATTTCAATTGTCCCCTAGTCATCAATACTCCCGGCTGGGTCTTGGGAACAGGGCTTGAAATTCTCGTAGACTTAATAGCCAAAGTGCACCCATCAGAAGTCATATATATGTCTAAAGCAGGTCCTGCCGAGGTGGTCGAAAGTCTTCAAGATGCAGCCAAAACAACTCCTTTTATCACTCTTCCTTCACAAACTACTGATTTCATGACACGCACTTCAGCTCATCTAAGAACTATGCAGTCAATGTCATATTTCCATCTAGATCCAACAAACAAGAAAGAACTAGCATGGAGCGGGATCCCATTATCATCCATTCCTCCTTGGGAAATCAAGTATTCAGGCGAAAATGCCGGTATTCTAGGTATCCTATGCTACGGCGAACAACCACCATCAGATCTCCTCTCTGAAACCATCAATGGCTCTATAATCTCGATAGTCGTTATTGAAGACCCTGCCGCAATACCGGGATATACCTCCGCTCAGCATGAAAAATCCGAAACCTCAGATCCCAACACTCTTCACGAGTTCAATTCCCCGTTAACCCTCGACCTCATCAAGAAGCCCCTCATTCTTCCCACCCCACATGAAAACCTCCCCTATTTTAACCCCCTGAACGCGATAACTCTCGATCCAGAATTTTCCCATACTATCGGATCAGCTCTCGTCCGTGGAATCGATACTAAACGTCAGCGCCTGCAAATCCTCACTCCGATCCCACAAGATGTATTCGAGGAAATTAATCAAGAAGGAAAGAAAATCGTGCTAGTAAGTGGAAAGTTAGATACCCCTGGGTGGGCCTACACAGAAGAATTAGTAAGAAGGACATGGATGGAGAAGGAGAGGCGAAGAAAGGAATCAGGCGAAGACGAAATAACAGATTACGAGACCGAGGAGGATGAAGATGAAGATGAAGATGAAGATGAAGACAACGAAGAGAGTGATACAGAAGAAGTGGAGATAGATACCGGAATTGGAATTGCACTCGAGACCCCGGATAAAGTATCCATCGATATGGATACACCGAATAACGCATTCCGGAATATTCCATGGGTGGAAAAACTCACTGGTTCGCAGGGAAGAGGGATTGGCGCGAGAGTTTGGCGTGTTAGGAGAGATTTGGGGAAGATGGGTGATGCGTAGGGGGTGGAAGGGAAGACGTTTGTATAATGTAATACAGTTTTGTATTGGAAAGTCGAGATATGTATGCATGTATAGTAGAGACTCGTGATAGTAAGATTATATTGAGAAGTTATATAGATACATACTTTCGTCCTCTACCTCTCTAATCACCTCTCTCTCTCTATATATATATCTATCTTCATGCAATACACTCTAGAGCATTACTATACATACATATCACCTATATATATATATATATATACATACAACACCATACAACACAACCCAACTTCACACAACACGATAAATGTCATAATGCCATCCATCCATGTATTCACCTATATAACCCTTCACCCATCCGTCCATTTCTCAATCAAGCTCGACCATACCAGACCATGCTATGCAACACCAAACCACATCAAAATACCTAAAATACACATCTGCCTGTTAAATCATGATTTATGGACCTCTCCCAAAACGCCCCAGGAACACCATACATCCCTCCTATGCCATGCCATGCTATGCATTCAAGCTTCCATTACATTCGATGCATTCGAAAGCAGAATATAAGGAAAGAACAAGGTCCGAATAGTTGCCTCTTTCCCATCTCTCACTATTCTCCAATTTCCCAACTGCATACCCTTAAACCACATCTAAAAATATTGCAACTCTCCACTCCCACCATTCTTTCCCCCATTACTCTTTTGCAACTGCGCCTGATACTGTTGAAACTGTGCTTGCACAAGTTGCTGCGGCGTTTGATAATTCTTCTGCAATGGAGGGAAATCCTCATACGCAACTGCCGGATTGTAAACTGGCGGCGTATTATTGGATGTCCGTTCATTAACATCATCCAAACTCCTATAACCGTATCCTCGTCCTTTTCCCTTACCGCCACCTCCTCCACCACTACCATTGCCTCCGCGATTGTTACGTCCAAAGCCTCCACGTTGATTTCCATTTCCCCTATGATTGCCTCGACCTCCACGTCCACCACCATAATTATTTTCTTGACCTCCTCTCTTGTTTGATGGCCCTTGATAGTTCCCACCATATGCTGCATTTGTTGGTTTAAGCTCAGGGGAATGCTTGCGCTTGAATGATTTATTGGGGAACAAACTCTCATACTCGTTTTCAGAAAGATCTTCCTTTTCTATCCTCAAAAGAACCTTTTCACCCACAGTACTTTCAAAGACAAAAGCCTGCTCTGGTGGAACAGGTTGCCAATTTTGTATCTTACCTGCATCAATTGGTCGAGCTCCTTTGCGCAATGCGAGAACGACTACAGGAATGGGGTTTTCGGTATAGAATTTTTTAGACTCTGGTACAGGTCTGACGCGAGCAGCCCAAATCTTATTCTCAAAGACTGCTGTTCCTGTTACTTCCCAGGTAGTCTTACTGCCCATTCCTCCAACTTTTTGAAGGATACTTTCTGGACATGGGCGTGGAGTAATAAGAACATTATTGGCTAGAAATTTGGCTTCTGTATCTGGCATGTTTGATGGAAGCTGAGCTAAAGTAAGCAGCTTCTGCGTGTCAGTATTATTGATCAAATAACCAGTATAGAAAACAGTCTTCTTAATTTGAAGTCTCTCGCCATAATTTCTTGCTTCAATGGCAGCATTGTGATCATTGATCAAACGCTGTACCTCAGCAGCTTCCACAACAGGATCAAGTAATGTGGCTCCATCTGCAACTTGAACCACCTCGGCAACGATAGTAGGGCGAGATGGAATACCATTAGAGCCATTTTGACGTTTGTTGTAATCCGTAAAGAAATCTCTGAATGCCTTGACATGTCTGACTCTATCCTCATAGATTCTGATTTCCTCGGCACCTTTATATGTCTCCATCAAACTTTCCAAGAAACATTGTTTGAAGTTCATCGTACTACTGAACCTCTCATTTCTGGGACCTGCTGCTGGTTTCAAGACAATCATATCCGTATCGAGGCCTCTACTGGCAAGCATTTTTTTCAACAATTCTGAAAATCCAGCCTCAGAACGACCAGTTAAGAGAATAGAAAGAACATCTTTTTGTTGCATACTCAACTGAATGAGTTCAACGATTCGCTCATTCCACCAACCTTTCCAAGCTCGTGGTTCTTCTTTCTCTACACCTTCACCTGTAGCTGCAAGAATTCTCGAATCGTGCCACCAACCACCCGTCGCAAATGTATCTTGAGTTTGTAGGAATCCTATGGTTGGTCCGTTCCATAATTTCGGATTGGGAAGAGGGCTATTGAAAACTGTGGAGGTATGTTAGCAGATGATATGTATAGATAAGAGAACAAGACTTCACAAGGATGGTAAACTGTGCCCCTTTAGAAATGGCATTAAACTTACGGGTATTATCAAAGTCATAAACATGGAGTGCCTTAATTTTGTCCACCGCTATCAAGAATTAGCAATTCATCCATCCTCACCCCCAATCTCTCCCGATCCAAGACATCTTACCAGGCAACTGTTTATCCGCAACAGACCAACGATTCAAAGCCGTGGTTGTGTATTGATTGAAGTTCGATCCCCCATTTGGAGTTTGCGCCATGATGAAGCGTGAGTCACAATGGCGTCAAAGTTTCTGGACAGAGTACACAGTGGTTTCAAGAGTTCTTGGGATAATGTGCAGTTTTTGCGCGCTCAATTGTCGTTATTCTGCAAATGCGATTGATAGGTAGGATCTTAACGTTGCCAGAATTTCTATCTGGTGTTGCTTTCCTCGAATATCGAAATGCTTTGACCAGCCATGGCGCTAAGCGTCTTGGAGTTTAGCGTAACAGTCGCACTACGGTTCTCGATTCTCATTTGCTTCACATAGTGAATGCTTTCTATATGCCGGACGAGATACTGAAAGAGCCTGGTACAGCAATCTACAATAGCCTTCCCCTATCATTCCAACAATGAAGAATGCCGCAGGTGGTTTTCTCAAGATAGTTAAACAAACCATACATTTAACCTGTCACGTTAAACCACACTCCAACGCATCAAGAGTAGGAATAAAAGCCTTCTCAGACACATCTTCCTCAATCGAAGTATGCGTCGCCCAACCAGCACGGGATAATGAAGCAAATAAAGGAGTTGTCGAGGTTTTGAGTCATGTATGGATTTGTTTTTGTTATTTGTTCTATTTTTGCTAATATATTCTATACAATCTGAGTATTGAATGATTTCCTAACAATACCTATGTAGATATTGGACTGTCCAAAGACCGACCTAGAAGTTATTCGTGGGCGGAAATCGAAGGATAAGATTGTTGCGTACAAAGGTGTAGAGGACTTGCTAGCAAATGGTTCTCTAGCTGAAATGACCTTGGAAGGAGTTAGAGAACGCTTGCGAATAGCGTGCAGAGATGCGAAGACTTGATAGATTGGGGGTAGTTGGTTTTGTTCTTGCGACCAGTAGACCTCTAATTCACCATTCTTCCATATAACATTCGTTGAGATCCGGCAAGCCTTCATATAGAATTCCAGAGCTACGTCGTCTCAAAGATTCGTCTCAACTGGTTTTGCCCACCAATGTAACGAAATTTACCCCTAGTGGCTCGAGGTCACACCTTCGCTAGTTAGTCGAGATATGCCGGCCATCCGACCAGGAACTTTTTGACAGCGGATTGCGGATTTGGGGGATATAGCAAAGCGCGAAGACCGAACGATAGCAAAATCAGCTTCAGCTCTGTACGCCGGCACAAACCTTACAATACTTCCCTGTTGGACCCTGTTGAACCCCTCAAGTCGATCTGTCGTATCATGTCCGACATCCCGTAGGCGAAGGAAGGATACATTAGTAGAGAAGTGATCATCGCGTTACCTGGCGAGTAAGCTCCTATGTTGTATGGACTCGGGTCTCCTGCCATTCGAACCGATACGCCAAAGTATGAGTAGATGGCGGCGGTTAATATCACAATGTAAAGAGAGTAGAATGTTTACCATCAACAGCAATAACATTTCATTCCATCAAATATCATCTTGAGTGCGAGAATAAATTGAGCTTAGTAAATCAATAAGAAATATCACTGGAATATGATATAGGGAGGAATACAGAATTTGGCTGATCTTATGAGGCTTTCGAAAGAATGAAGTAGGATTCGACTAGATAATCGAAATGGATAATTCGAGACACGTGATAACGGTTGATCTCCAAAGGGAGCGAGGGCGGATGGAAATTGGAGGGTGTAGATACAATTCAACGCCGTGATATTTCAGATACTTGGCATCTTCTGTGGCGCACACCACATGTAATTATCGTCGAACAAACACAAGAACGAAAATTCCACTAAAGCGAGAATACTACAAAGTAGGATTTCGCGCTGAGTCTGTACCCTCCACACTCCCATTTCATCGACCAAGGATGGGGTACGGAGTAGACGATGCATGCATGCTTGTTGAACTCTGGAAAGGATCATCACTGGATGGTATTTGGGTACACTGTACAAGTAGGAGTCTGGGTGAGATGTACTCGTATTGGCTTGAAGGTTCCTCAGTCGCTCCCGTGAACCCGCATGGGTTATATTCCGAGAATCAAAAGAAGGAAGAAGATGGCGAGCATCTATGTTTGAAGGGTAGGGAAAGCTCTGCGAATCAAGAAACATGTGTATACAGTGTAGGACAATGTTCAGGTAGTTGTACTCGACAGCGTACAGTAATAAGATGAGTAGCCAAGACATAGAAGTTCATGGAGGGGTCTTGTCTTGTAAGCAAGCCACCAAGCATGACAAGATGATTCTGCTTTTTCTTCTTTTTTTTCGATCAGTGGATCCCCTCTCATGCGTCCGTAGTTTAATATGCGCGCCGGTTAAGTATGGAGACACCACAGAAGATCCTTTCTTTTTTGTTCCTTTTGGATAAATAATCCGATAAGAATTTACAGACTTTTTAAGGTGGAGGGGTGGATGGAATATCAGTGGATATCCCGAGATAAAAAATCCTTTTGAGAAGCCGATAACCGATTTAATTTGATTTTGCGATGTGCGAAGTAGTAGTGGTGGAAGTCTTAATTATTCAAATGACATAAAATATTGTAAGAGATCTCGAGAAAGTTTTAGCTCTACTCACATGAATGATTATGCAGCCGATGAATGAAGCTCGTAGTAAGATGTGTTCCGAGGTAGAAAATCGGGATGATTGAGTAGGTAGAAGACACGCGTGATACGGTAGGCAGTATGATACGGTAGGCAGGCAGTATGATACTCATGACACTCATGATTCTCACCTTGGGCTGATAAGTAGCATGATTCTCACGTGAGCCCATTCGTCTCATCTACCGAGTATAGTAGCTACGTGCATTGTGTTTATATAGATATATACTCGTGTCTACACTCCGAAGACGATCCTCCACGCGTCTTCCTCTTTCTCAACCCCTTAGCAACGCCCACAGAGTGTCTATCTCCAAGGAAAAGTATACACGCAACTGTGCAGCCGTCAGTATGTTTCGTATGTATGGTATGCATAAAGGGTCGCTGGTCGCTGGTCACTGGTCACCGGTCACTGATGGCATGTGACCGTAACCCCTCGGCTGTGGCTACCACTGCGTCATTCCCAGCTCTTTGGCACTCAGCTCGTCGCGGGAAAGTGGACACTCTGCTTCTTTGACCGATAGATAAATTAGAGAACAAACGGGACCGAGAGGGGAAGAACTCAAAACGTCGGATCGATGACCCATTGCTATTGTACTTTTACTCAAACTCACCTTCCGAACCCATATTGAAAAGAGATAAAGGGGAAGGATCTACCTATAGTTACAAAAAGGTCGATTTATTGTTCATGCGATAAGATTGCTTCCAACAGACAGTATGAAAGAAAGAGTTCTTTCACATGAATAATATCATCCGTCTCTGATTCGTCTAAACAGAATTTCGATCAGAAAATCCGAATGTGGTGATAAATTACAATGCGTGAGTGAGTGACGATCAATTGCCACAACACAACACAACATCTTACCTGCACATGCTCGGGTCGAGGAACACCAAGTAATTAGCATGGTTCATGACAAGAAAGCGCACTGTGTGAGAAAGGGAGGAGGAGTTCATGTATCAAATCAGAGAACCTCTTTTATAAAACAATACTTCGAGTACCGGTATTCCTCTCCAGGTGCCTACATCGTACTTATTACTCCGTACACCTGCTTACCTACTACCTAGTACTTGGTTTGTGGCTCAAAGGTGCATAGGTGGGTGGCATGGTGGCATGGTGGCATGTGCTTTTCTCTCGGTACGAGCCCCTTCATCACAGGCTTTGATGATTCAATACTCACTGGCTGGTACATTACAGCGTCGAAAGACTTTTCAACATTTAACAACACATCAAGTGGAGAGATACGGGGGGGGGGGGGGATTTGGTCGGCAATGAGATCAATGAGGGAGAGAGTTCCGCTACATGATCACGCCTCTTTCTCTCCAAGTCTTGATTCAAATCGGTTTTGGTGATTGCATAGGTATATACATACTTGCTAGGTTGTTATACCGATACCCAGGTAGATGCAGATTATTAACTGCGTGCTATGTATCTAATGAAATCTACAACTTACCACTTCACTTGCCAATATTCCTCCGTGTATTCCAGGTTCAAGGTTTTTATTCTCATCCTATCCAATGCGTAAAGTTTAAAATATTATTACTCTCGGGGATCTCTTCCGAAAGATCAATAAATTAATAAGAGGTGGTCCCTGATATAAACACAAACATTCAAACACTCACGCAGCCTTTCACCCTTTTCTCGACACCTAATTCGTCTTTGAGCTCGAACTCCCTCCCTCTCGAGTCTCGAGTCTAGTACAAATTTTCTCATTGCGGATTACTTGAAAAATGAAAGCTGGTCCCGTCCAAAGATATCCAAGGGTTCATGGACAGTTTTCATCGGCAAATAAAAGAACAAAGACAAGGTACAGACAGGAGTACAGCACAACACAGAGTCACAGACAGAGGAAAGGGCAAGAAGAAAAAGTGATAAGTGACCCTGAGCGAGGAAGTGACTCGAGTATCATCCATGATTATGCAGAAAGATAGAGAGAATACTCCATGCACATCTCATCAATGCTTCCAGCACACCCTTGGTCCACCCACCATCAGCCAGATTGGTATTAGTTGATCTGATATAGGTAAGGTCTACTTCCCAGTCAAGACTAATATGATTTCAATCACATCTTCAAGTTTTTAAACTTTCAAAAGGAATCTCCACTACACCAGGATTAAACTTGATATTTTGGCTAATGGGACGAAGTATTTCCTAATACCTATCGTGGTTTCTTAAATTGTAGCAACTAGCTGGATCAATCACCAATTCTCGGATTTGGGATTTAGGATTTAGGATTTGGGACTTGGGACTTTGAACTTTGAACCTTGGACTTACTCTAGACTCTGGATTTACTTTGAATTCTACCTCTACCTCTACCTCTACCTCTTACTCGCCTACTCGCCTGCCCGCCTGTTACCCTCCAACTCTCCTACCGCCCTACCGCCCTACCCTCCAACCCTCCAACTCCCCAACTCCGTGCTGTATCATTCATTTTATATATCATTTGGCACCAGCCGCACTACCCTTTCTCTCATCCCACGTCGTACCATACTATATACACCTCACACTTAGGAAAACTATAATGTCACGCTTAATTTGAGAAGAAGAAGAAAAGAAGAGAAGAGAAGAGAAGAAAAGAAAGAAAAAAAGGGCAGCCGCACCAAAGATATACGCATCAAACCTTCTTTCTTCCTCTATCCTTCCTTCTCTCGTTCCTCGAGTTCTAGATCTGCAGCCTTTTAATAGAACCACACACACAAACCTACACATACACATACACATACACATACGCACAGCCGGACCTCTTGAGATCTAGAAAATCTTCCCGTTCTAGATTGCTTGTCTGTATCCCCTTCAATATCAATCCGTCTGTTCTCTTCAATATCTATTCTTGTAAGTCGCTATCCATAATCCGTTCGAGAATCCGTACATGATACCCCAGGAATAAAACATCATCGTTTATCACCTTATCACCCACATCACCCGTACCATCATTCAAATCTCGTTTCTCAAATAATCCTCCGGGATTCTCCAAGAATGACTTCCCGTTAACCGTGTGTGTTGGCCGACAGCTTTTATTACACTTTAACACCTTTTAAGGCATTCTTTTTATTTATTTTCGACCGACGCGACGGCCCGTGCATCTAGAAAAAGGTCATTTGTACTACTAAGGTACCTGGAATCATCGTCCCTTTTTTATATATACTCCCGTCTCTATCTATATAGAGGTTATCCTCGCCCACATCGCCGTCGACACATCAGGTTCTTTGGGGGGAAGGGAATAATATCGCTTGATATTCCTGTCATCGGACAGGTTCCCGCGCAAATATGATGGAGAAGGGTGGAGATATGGCT